CTTAGCCACATAGGTCAGCCCCGTTTTCCCCGGCATGTGCGTGGTTTGCTTGCCAGGAGCTGAGCGTCACAGCGGCGCGGCCTAGGTCAAGCCTTCCTTCCCCTCAGTAATAGTCTTGTTGCCAGAGGAGCAGCTGCTTGGCAAACAAGCCAGAGGACACAGGCATCTCCCGTTTCCATTTCAGGGCTCCCAGTTTGTAGAATGGGCCTCAGCTGGGAACCTCAAGCCCGTGTGGGTGAGCAGGGGCTGCCCGCGCGCCTGGGACCAGGAGGCCGAAGGAGCAGGCCCCGAGCTGGAGCTTCGGGCAGCGCGGACCAAGGCCTTGTGGCTGCCCATGGGCGACTGACGCCGAAGTGCCACCCACTCCATCTCGGACAGAGAAGAGCCGGATCCCCCCACAGATCCCACACGCCTGGAACTTTCCTCCTATTTTGATTTCCGTGCCCTCAAATAAAATGGCTGTGCTTTCGAGGGAGAGGGAGTGAGCAGTAACTTTGGGTCTGTTGAGATCGCTTTAGTTCTGTGACTCAGCAGTCTGGTGGGCCGGCTTCAGTACACCACAGTGTTTGTGAAACAGATCAAGGGGACCGAGGAGCCCGGGACAGGACAGCGGGGCCTCTTGTTTCTCCTTGGGCTCTATCAGGCAGCTTCTGTTCTTTGGCGTCCTCTGTGCATTGCCTCCGTGCTGGTATGAAACAAAACACGGTAGCTCTCAGAAATAAAGAGCCCTGGTGAGGAACTCGTGCCGATTTCCGTGGTGTAAATGCTGCCACCAAGCTCCAGGGGACTGAACAACCGGCAGACGGAATTCTTGGATTTTAACAGCTCCCATGAGCCACTCCAGCACACCAGTGTTTTAGAATTCTCTTTGAGGCAAAGAGCCCACTCGCTCTAGCACAGAATAAAAGGGAGTTTTCTGGAAGGCCATGGAGACACCTTAGAGAAAAGCGGACAAAACACATAGCCAGTGCCGCAGGTCCTGAGAACCCGAGTGCAGCCGCTTTCTGTGGGCCGCGGTATCTCCGCCTGTCTGCTTCCTTTACCTTTGTAGCCATGTGACTTTAGAAAGTCTCCGGCCACATCCCGGGACAGGAAATCTGATTGGCCAGCCTGGGTCAGGTTTCCACTTCTGGGCCAATCATGTCAGCCCAAGGAGTGGGAGCCCCTTGGCGTGCAGCCATCCGGCCAATCAACAGTTACCTATTCAGCACCTACTATGCGCGAGGCACTGCTCTAGGTGCTGGGGAGACAGACATGAACAAGACAACCTGGCCTCATGGAGCTGACGCTCCAGTGGGTGAAAGGCGATTAGTTTCCTATCGCTGCTGTAACCAATTACCACAAAGTTAGTAGCTTAAATAAAACAACACACGTGTATCCTTATAATTCTGGAGGTCAGAAGTCTGAAATGGGTCTCACTGAGCTAAAATCAAGGTGTCAGCAGGGGCTGGGAATCTGTCCCAGGGCACTAGGGAGCTCTAGAGGGTCTGTGGGCAGAGGAGAGGTAGGCTCAGCTCTAGTTGAAAGACAGTTTTATAAGCTAGCATGTCATGTACTATAATAGATGAACCTCAGGGCACTCTGGGGGCCCGGAGAAGGCACCCTACCCTGCCTAGGTGTGTAGGGGGGTGTGTGTGTGAGAGAGAGAGAGATGACAGGGATCTCCCAAGAAAGATGCCATCTTCATTGAGGGTTTTTTCCTTCCAGCTTTATTGAGTTATGATTGACGGATAAAATTGTATATATTTAATTTGTACAACAGCATTTTTTTAAGGTGTGCAAAATGATTTGATGTACATTTTCTTTGTGAAATGGTTACCACAATCAAGTTAATGAACACATCTGTCCACTCACATAATTACCTTTTTGCTTGCGTGGCAGGAACATTTAAGATCTATCAGCAAATTTCAAGTGTACAATACCGACCACGGCGTTGTTAGCTGTGGTCACCCCGCACTGTGCAGTCCATCCCCAGAACTTACCTTCGAAATGGGAGTTTGTATTCCTTGACCAACATCTCCTCATTTTCCCCACATCTGCAACCCCCGGCAACCCTTCTACTCTTGGGTTTTATGAGTTTGACTTTTTTTTTTTTTATTATTCTCACCCGAGGACATTTTTCCACTTTTTATTCAGATAGAGAGGAAGAGAGAGAGAGAAACATCGATGTGAAAGGGACACATCGAGTGGCCGCCACTCACACAGCCAACCAGGGCCGGGGACAAACTGCAACCGAGGCACAGGCCCTTAGCGGGAACCGAACCCGGGTCTCTCTGGACCGCAGGCCGACGCTCTAACCGCTGAGCCAAACTGGCCAGAGTTTGACTTCTTTAAGGTCCACATATGAGATCAAACAGTATTTGTCTTTCTCTGGTTCACTCAGCATAATGTTCTCCAGGTTCCCCATGTTGTTGCAAATGGCAGAGTTCTCTCTTTATGGCTGAATAATATTCCATTATATGCATATTTCACATACTTTTTTTTCTTTAATCCTCACCCGAAGGTATCTTTCTATTTATCTTCAGATAGAGTGAGAGGGAGGGAGAGAGGGAGAGAAGCAGTGACATGAAAGGGACACATCGACTGGTTGCCTCCCACACGACCCCGACCAGGGACAGGGACAAACAGCAGCCAAGGTACATGCCCTTGGCTGGAGTCAAACCCACAACACATTGGTCCACAGGCCGACGCTCTACCGCTGAGCCAGACTGGCCAGGCTCACGTGTTTTGTTTTTTTTCTATTTAAAATTTTTTTTTCCTTTATTGATTTTAGAGAGAGAGGAAGTGAGAGGGAGAGAGAGATAGAGAAACATTGATGAGAGAACATCGATTGGCCACCTCCTACATGCCCCACACTGGGGATTGGGCCCACAACCTGGGCATGTGCCCTGACCGGGAATCGAACCAGTGCCTCCTGGTGCATGGGTCGACACTCAACCACTGAGCCACACTGGCCAGGCCTTTACCTCTTGTTCTCAACAGTGGCCATTCTGACAGCTGTGCTGTGACCTTGGCTTTGACTTGCGTTTTCCTGATGCTTAGTGATCGCCTTGAGTCTGGAAATACAATGGGGGTCTGATCAGGCTAGAAAAGTGGCCGAGAGCACCCCAGGCCAAGGCAACAGCACGTGCAAAGGCCCACCGGTGGGCAACAGCTTTGGAGGAGCTGTACTGGTTTGAATAGTGAACCTCAAAAAGAAGCCCTGACCAGTTTGGCTCAGCGGTTAGAGCGTCGGCCTGCCGTCCAGGGAGACCCGGGTTCAGTTCCCACTAAGGGCACGTACCTCAGCTGCAGTTTGTGCCCGGCCCTGGTTGGGTCGTGCGGGTGGCAACCACTCGATGTGTCCCTTTCACATCGATGTTTCTCTCTCTCTCTCCCTCCCTCCCACACTATCTGAACAAAAAGTGGAAAAATGTCCTCGGGTGAGGATAGGAAAAAAAAAAAAGATATGTCCACATCCTCCTCCCTGGAACCTGTGTATGTGACCCTATTTGGAAAAACTCTCTTGTAGATATAATGCAATTAAGGAAAGATCATCCTGGGTTATCCAAGTGGGCCCTAAATTCGATGGCAAGGGTCCATACAGAAGACAGAAGAAAACAAAGCCACGTGAAGACGGAGGCAGGGGAGGAATTCAGTGTCTAGTACCCTCCCCCTTCCCCCTTCCTCCCCTCCCCCGCCCTCCCCCCTCCCAGGTTGGAGGTAGGAAGTAGGCAAGGTAGACTGATATCCTGTGTCTCAAAGCCCCAAACCTTTTGTGTGACTGGTCTTTCTGGGCTGACCAGCCCCCAAATCTGGAATGCCTCATTAGCATAAACCCAGGTGAAGTCAGGGCAGAGGATGGGGGGGCCCTCATGAAAAACAAAGACTCCTATATCACTTGTCTGGGAAGTTCTCAAAGACTTAGAGGTTGTCTCCCAGTAGACAGGAAGCCAGATGCTTTCTCTCTTACACCACAACAATGAAGGAAGAGGCTAGGATCCATTTGTTCGTTTATTTAACAAATATTGATTGAGCACCTGTTGTGATTCAAGTACCGTTCAAGGTGTGGGAGACCCCCCAGGATAAACACCTCCACCGTGGTCCTGGCGCTGACGTCCCTACGGGGGCAACGGACAAAGAAGATACGTACATGGCGTGTCAGAAGGTGATAGTGACCAGGGAAAGAGTAAAGCAGAGGTACAATTTGAAAAAGGGTGGTGGGGAAGGCTTTGCCTGTGTGTTTGAGCAAAGGCTTAAATGAGATGGGGGGCGAGCCATGTGGGTATCTGGAGGGAGGGCATTCAGGCTGAGGGTTCTGCCAATGCAAAGGCCCTGGGGCAGAGTGTGCTTGTCCCAGGCACAGGGAGGAGACCAAGGCAGAGAGGGAACAGGGCTCGAGATTTTGCAGGTGTGCGTGGGCCACAGTGAGGACTTGGTCTTTCCTTTGAGTGGCAGGAGGCAGGGGAGGGTTTGGAGCAGAGGAGGGAGCGGATCTCAGTCTTCACAGGCTCTCTGACTGCATATGGGGAACAGGCAGGGTTGTGGGCGGGGGGGTTGCAGCGAGGGCTGAGGCCAGGAGAGGAGGCATCAGGTGGGAGAGGTAGTAGACCCAGGTGATGCGGCTGGGGTGGTGAGAAGTGACTGGACGACGGACTCTGGATGCGTTTTGACAGTCCGCCAACAAATTTGCTGAGGGACTGGGCTGTGTGGGCAGTGAGTGTCCCAAGTCCCCGCCGAGGTTTTGGGCCTCGGGATCTTGTAGGGAAGGAAGGGGTGAGGTGCAAGGAGAAGATGAAGAGCTCAGGGTGACTTCCTCCTCGCCCTGCGTGCATTGGTTCTATTTGGAGACAGACCCAGGTTCCAGCCCCAGCTCCTCCTTCAGTCTTTCCTACCCGGGAGGCTAAGGCACGCTTCGGGAGGCGAGCTGCCACCTGTTACCACCAGGTGGCGCCCCCGGCCTCGGGCAGATCCACCCCAATTCACTGCCCCCCTCCAAAATGTCCTTTCACTTTCGATCTCTGGCTGTCACCCCGCCTGGCCCCTTCCACATCCAGCTGGGGCAAGCCTGGTGCGGGAGGAGAAATGGGCTCCGGGTCCCCGAGGGGCGGGGCTGGGGTTCCCCTCCTGGGGCTGACGGAGGGGGAAAGGGGGTCTGGTTCCTGGGCCCCTGCCTGGGGAGGGTTCCGGGGATCGGACGTCGGGGTTCTTAGAAAGGGAAATGCGGGGTTTTCACCGTAACTGGGGAGTATGCAGGAAACCCGAGGGAGAAGGAGGGGGAAGCTCAGCCACTTCAAAGGGCCAAGGGAGGGGCAGGGAGGTGAAGGGGCGGGTGAGGAAAGAGCTGGGGTGTGTCAGCCCAAGACCCGCTCTTCTGTCCCTTCCAAGATCTGGCCACAGGCATGAAGGGCCTCCGGCGGAGATGATAGTGTTGGCACCAGCCTGGAGCCCAACAGTGCGTACACCTGGGGGACAGGTGGGGGAAAGGAGGGCAGTGTCATGGTGAGCAGACAGGTGCGGAGGTGCAGAGAGGTGGAAGGAAGATGGACAGAGGGGGCTTGAGAGATGGGCAGGGGTGGGAGGTGGGCAGGGGTGGAGGGAGGCGGGCAGGGGTGGAGGGAGGCGGGCAGGGGTGGAGGCAGGTGGGCAGAGGGGGCTTGAGAGATGGGCAGGGGTGGGAGGTGGGCAGTGTGGAGGGAGGCGGGCAGGGGTGGAGGGAGGCGGGCAGGGGTGGAGGAAAGTGGGCAGGGGTGGGAGGTGGGTAGGGTGGAGGGAGGCGGACAGGTGTGGAGGCAGGTGGGCAGTGTGGAGGGAGATGGGCAGGGGTGGAGGGAAGATGGACAGAGGGGGCTTGAGAGATGGGCAGTGGTGGGAGGTGGGCAGGGTGCAGGGAGGTGGGCAGGGTGCAGGGAGGTGGGTAAGGTGCAGGGAGGTGGGCAGGGGTGCAGGGAGGTGGGCAGGGGTGCAGGGAGGTGGGCAGGGTGCAGGGAGGTGGGTAAGGTGCAGGGAGGTGGACAGAGGTGCAGGGAGGTGGGCAGGGTGCAGGGAGGTGGGCAGGGGTGCAGGGAGGTGGGCAGGGGTGCAGGGAGGTGGGCAGGGGTGGGGATTGGATTGTTAGGGGAGATGGACAGGAGTGGGGGAACAAACAGAGGGATGTGGGTGTCAGTGGGATTGAGGGGACCCAGACGGAAGACCTGGGAGAGATGAGCAGAGAAGGACAGGGGGGCAGACAGAGAGGAGACTGGGCTGAGGGAGCAGAGACCGAGCTCGCTGGGCAGAGTCGGGGACTGGGGCAAAGGAGACTGAAAAGTGGACAGTACCAACAGAGGCAGAAAGAAGAACGGGGACACGGGGTCAGAGGTGGGCAGACACCAGGAACTGAAGGATGGACTGAGCCCTGGGAAAGGAGCGGGGGAGAGAGCAGGGGCTGGGGGAGCCAGGGGAGGGCTGTGGAGCCCACGGAGGCGCCCTTCCCTGCAGATCTCCCTGCTGCTGCTGCTGCTGCTGTTCACCCCCGGCCTCTGCGGGACCCCAGACTGCTCCTTCCCCCACAGCCCCATCTCCTCCACCTTCGCTGACAAGATCCGAAAGCTGGTGAGCGCCCTGCCCCAGCCTCCTCTGCTGTCCTCTGGGAGCCTTGGGTATTGTCTGAGTTGCCCCGTCTGGGTCTCTGTCTTGGTGGCTCCCTGTCCCCTCGCCCTGGGTCTCTCTCTGTAGGTCTGTTTCCTCCCATCTTCACCCGAGCCGAACCCGTTTTCTCCTGCAGTCTGACTACCTGCTTCAAGATTATCCAGTCACTGTGGCCTCCAACCTGCTGGACGTGAGTCACAGACGGGAGGGGCCAGGGTGGGGGTAGGAAAGCAGCTCTGGATGCACCATCCCTCAGGACCCGGCTAGCTTGCCAACCAAACCCCTCCTCCCCTGGTACCCAGGGGTCCGGCCCCAGCCCCTCCTCCTTCAGACTCAGGGGTCCGGCCCCCAGTCCCTCCTCCCTCCGACCCAGGCCCCTCCCCCCTCAGGCCCAGGCCCGTCTGCCCGCAGGACCCAGAGCTTGGGCTGTCTCTCCTCAGGACAAGTTGTGTGGTGCCTTCTGGCGCCTCGTCCTGGCCCAGCGCTGGATGGGACAGCTCAAGACTGTGGCTGGGTCCCAGATGCAAATGCTGCTGGAGGCTGTCGACACCGAGATACACTTTGTCACCTTATGCGCCCTCCAGGTCAGCCCTGAATGTGGGGGACAAGGGAGGGGGGACAAGGGAGGGAGGGAGATGCCTTCCTAGGGAACAGGAGACAAGGCTTAGCTCGGCCTTACTGGAGATTTCTTTTGTCGCAAGCAGCTCAAGGAGGGGGGAGCTCAAACTCCAGTCTCACGGGGGGAGGGGGTCAGGGGGGCTGCTGGGAATCACAGTCCCCTGTGCACCAGAGGATGGTGAGGGGTCTGGGTCCAGCTCAGCTGACTTTATTTCTCAGGCCCTATGGCAGGAAGTTGCTAAGGATGCTTCTCCCTGGCAACTAGGCGGAGGAGGGGTCCAAACTCTCCCTCTGAGACCCAGCCTGGCTGGGCCGGGTTGCTGGGCATTGCTGGGCAGGGAAGGCCCTTGGCCTGAGGAGACGCAGGGGGTGATGTGGTGGTGACGTCTCCCTCCCCTGCCCCCAGCCCCTCCCTAGCTGTCTTCGCTTCGTCCAGACCAACATCTCCCACCTCCTGCAGGACACCACTGAGCAGCTGGTGGCCTTGAAGCCCTGGATCACCCGCTGGAATTTCTCCAGGTGCCTGGAGCTGCAGTGTCAGCCCGGTAAAGGCTCCCACCCTCCCAGCCCCGCCTCCTCTCCCACCCTCCCAGCCCTGCCCTGCACGGGGCATCTCAGAACTTACCTGCTCCCGTGGGCTGCTTGACTTTGGGCGTGTTCCCCCATGGTCATTCCCCTCTCCGGGCCTCAGTTTACCCATCTCTGAGAAGGGATGGCAGCTCCATGCCATAGAAATAGAGTGTGGAGTGCTTGTTTTGTTTTTTTAACTCATCTTTATTGTTGAATGTATTACAGATGTCCCCTCTTTTTTCCCCTTTGGCCCCCTCCTCCCCAATCTCACCCCCCTCCTGCCTTCCCCTCACTATTGTCTGGTGTCCATTGGTTATGCATATATGCATAGAAGTTCTTTGGTTTATCTCCCCCACTTCCCTTTGAGGTTCATCAGTCTAACAACCAATTGGTACTTCTTAATTCCTTCATTTTTTTCACCCATCCTCCCAGACCCCACCCATCTGGCAAGCAACAAAAAGTTCTCTGTATCTATGAGTCTGTTTCTGTTCAGCTTGCTCATTTTGCTTGTAGATTCAATTGTTGATAGATATGTATTAATTGCCATTTTATTGTTCATATTTTTGTTGTTCTTCACCTTCAAGAAGACCCTTCAACATTTCATATAATACTGGTTTGGTGGTGATGAACTTCTTTATCTTTTTCTTGTCTCGGAAACTATTGATATGTCCATCAATTTCTAAATGATAGCTTTGCAGGACAGAGTAATCTTGGTTGTAGGTCAATGCTTTTCATCACCTTGAATATCTCTTGCTGCTCCTTTCTAGCCCGCAAAGTTTCTTCTGAGAAATCAAACAGTCTTATGGGAGCTCCTTTGTAGGTTAGTAACTGCTTTTCTCTTGCTGCTTTTAAGATTCTTTCTCTGGCATTTTGATGATGATGTGTCTTGGTGTGGACCTCTTTGAGTTCATCTTTTCTTCTTCTTCTTCTTTTTTTTTTGGTGGTACATGCCCCTAGCGGGAACCAAACCTGAGACTCTCTGGTCCGCAGGCCGACACTCAACTGCTGAGCCAAACTGGCCAGGGCAGGTTCATCTTGTTTGAGACTCTCTGTGCTTCCTGGACTTGTATGTCTGTTTCCTTCACCAAGTTAGGGAAATTTTCTGTCATTATTGTTCGAAATAGGTTTTCAACTTCTTGTTCTCTCTCTTCTCTTTCTGGCACCCCTATGATGCAAATGTTGGCACGCTTGAAGTTGTCCCAGAGGCTCCCTACACTATCCTCATTGTGTGTGTGTGTGTGTGTGTGTGTGTGTGTGTGTCTCGAGGGCTGACTTTTAATAGATCAAATAGATCACAGTGAGAGAGCTGCTCTGCTATGTACGAAACCCTGACATTTTTTTTTTTTTTTTAATTCTCACCCAGGGACATTTTTGCATTTATCTTCAGATAGAGTGGAAGGGAGAGAGAGAAACATTGATGTGAGAGAGACACATCAACTGGTTGCCACCCACATGACCCCAACTAGGTCCAGAGACAAACTGCAACTGAGGTACGTGCCTTTAGGGGGAACTGAACCCAGGTCTCTCTGGCCGACGCTCTAACTGCTGAGCCAAACTGGTTAGGGCTCTCCTCATTTTTTTTTTTTTTCATTCCTTTTTACTGTTCTGATTGGGTGTTTTTGCTTCCTTATATCCCAAATCGATGGTTTGCTTCTTGGCTTTACCTACTCTACTATTGATTCCCTGTAAATTATTCTTTATTTCAGTTAGTGCCTCCTTCATTTCTGACTGGTCCTTATTTATGTTGTTGATGTTCTCCTTAAGTTCCTTGAAGGTGTCACCAAGTTCCTTGAGCAACCTTATAACTTGTTTCCTGAACTCTGTATCTGAATGATTGCTTATCTCCATTTTGCTTACTTCTTTTCCTGGAGTTTTGTTCTTTTCTTTCACTTGGGACATGTTTCTTTGTCTCCTCATTTTGGTTGCTTCCCTCTGATTGTTTCTATGTATTAGGCAGAGTTGCTATGTCTCCTGGGCTTTGTAGGGTGGCCTATTGTTGTAGGTGTCCTGGGGTGGCACAGCCTCTCTGATCACCCCAGCTGGGCCCACAAGGTGCACCTCTTGTGTGGACTGTACCTTCTTCTGTTGTAATTGAGTCTTGATTGCTGTTGGCATGTCAATGGGAAGGATTTACTCAGGCTGATCAGCTGCAAGGACTGGCTGTGCCCACTGACCGCTGACCTCTGACCACCCTGGATGATCAGCTGTGCAGGGGCCCATCACACAGAGCAAGACTTACTTCAGCAGGGCTCTGGTACCCACTGAGTCCACTCCTTGAGTGTGTCACTTGTGGAGGTGGTTGGGTGGTGGTGCTTTGATGTGGTCTGAAGCTGTCCACTGGGTGTGCTGGCTCTGGGGCCAGGTCAGCCACTGCCTGTGTTCTACCCGGGGCCACCAGGCATAAGGTACAAAGTGATCTGCCGATGGCTGCTTCCTGTGCTGGGCTTGGAGGTGCCCAGGCAAAGCCCAACTGTGACCCGAGGCTGGCTGCTTCTAGTGCTGGGCCTGGGGCCACTTAGCGAGAGGTATGGGGCTCACTGAGGCCAGGCACTGCTTGTTTGAGAGATTTTAGGAAACTCTGAAGCAGGAGCTAAGACAGGCCAATGGCGTGCTTGTTTAAGTGTAGACTTTCTAGTAGCCATTTAAACAGGTAAAAAAAAAAAAAAAGGTAAATTCACTCTTGTTCAAGATTTTTATATTCTATCAACCTTATCATGATGTTATGCAGCATTTTTCTGTCCTTGTAAAGTTTTTCCACTAGATCTGTGAAGTTCTGAGAGGGATATATAAATATATATATTTAATCCTCACCCGAGGATATTTTTCCATTTATCTTCAGATAGAATAGGAGGGAGTGGGAGAGATTGAGAGAGAAACATCGCTGTGAGAGAGACACGTCAACTGGTTGCCTCCCACATGACCTGGACCAGGGCCGGGGACTGAACTGCAACCAAGGTACATGCCTTTGACTGGAACCGAACCTGCGACTCTTTGGTCCGCGGGCCGACGCTCTAACCGTTGAGCCAAACCAACCAGCGCCTGAAAGGGATATTTTTAAAAACTCTCATTCTAGCTAGATTTTTCTCAAATTCTCCCCTCATTTCCCATCTTTCTCACTCATACTGAGCTTGGTTTGTCATTTCTATTTACATTTCTGGCTATTCACTCAAACAAGTTTTGTGTTTTTTAATTTTATGTTTTGTTAATCCTCACCTGAGGATATTGTTTCCACTGATTTTTAGAAAGAGTGAAAGGGAGGGAGGGAGAGAGAAAGAAACATCCATGTGTGAGAGAGACATTGCTTGGTTTTCTCCCCCATAAGCCCCAACAGGGGCCTGAGATCAAACCTGCAACCCAAGTATGTGCCCTTGACTGGAAATTGTACCTGAAACCCTTTGGCGTGCAGGTCAACACTCTAACCACTGAACGACATCCGCCAGGGCACAACCAAGTTTTAGTAACCATCTTCTTGGTGCCTGGCACTAGAGACACAGCCCAGAACAAGACTCCAAGTTCGTGCACCAACATTTTGGGGGGCAGAAACCCTAATCATGAGACAGACAATAAACATACAAACAGAAAAATATCTGAGTGAAAGGAGCCCTATGCAAGCAATTAAAACAGGAATCACGGTCTGAGGCGGTTGGTTGGAAAGTCTCTGGAAGTTGGGAAGAAGGGAACAGCCAGTGCAAAGGCCCTGAGGCAGAAACCCGCTACAGTGATGAGGCCTGTGTGGCTGGAGTCAGTGAGGGGCAGAGGTTGGGAAATGAAGGCACAGAGGAAACAGTGGACAAGCTGGTGTGCGGCCTTTGAGACATCAGAGTTTCACACCTGTATCTCTTACTGTTTATTAGCTATTTGTTCACTCAAAAAAATAACTTATGTAAATTAAATTCTCGTCATATTATTTAGTGAGCACTAAGCAGTAGGTTCTGGGAATAAATAAAACAGATATGAGTCCTGTCACCCACATGCAGCTCAGAGACTATTAGAGGAAGAAGAAGAAACAAATCAACATAGAAGCACCAGAAACATTTGTTCAGTTGTAAAATATGCAAACTGCCCTGGCCAGTGTGGCTCAGTTGGTTGGAGTGTTGTCCCAGGCACCCAAAAGTCATGGGTTTGATTCCTGGTCAGGGCACATGCCAAGGTTGTGGGTTTCACCCCTGGTTGAGAGGCAACCGATTGATGTTTCTATCTCACATCAATATTTCTCTCTCTCTCTCCCCATTCCTTTCTCTCTGAAAAAACAATAAAGCCCAGCCAGTGTGGCTCAGTGGTTGAGTGTGAACCCAGGCACCAAGAGGTCACTGGTTCGATTCCCGGTCAGGACGCATGCCCAAGTTATGGGCCAGGTCCCCAGTGGGGGGCATGCAGGAGGCAGCCAATCAATGTTCTCTCTCATCAATGTTTCTATCTCTCTCTCCCTTCTGCTCTCTCTAAAATTAATAAAGAAAGTAAATAAAGAAAAAGCCCAGCTGGTGTGCCTCAGTGGATTGATCATTATCCTATGGACTGAAAGGTCCCGGTTCGATTCCCAGTCAGGGCACATGCCCCGGGGTTGCAGGCTCAATCCCCAGGAGAGGGTGTGCAGGAGGCAGCCCATCGATGTTTCTCTCTCACGTCGATGTTTCTATCTCTCTCTCTCTCTCTCTAAAAAAAATCAATAACACATATTTAAAAAAACAAACAATAAAAAGCATGTCCTCGGTGTCCTGGCTGGTTAGCTCAGTGGTTAGAATGTTGGCCCACAGACCAATGAGTTGCAGGTTCGATTCCAGTCAAGGGCACGTACCTCGGTTGCAGTTTGGTCCTGGCCCTGGTCAGGTCGTGGGGGAGGTCATGTGTCTCTCACATCAATGTTTTTCTCTCTCTCTCCCTCCCACTCTATCTGAAGATAATGTGCCAGGCACTGTCCCAAGCTCTTTCTAAATATTCACTCATTTAATTTTTGTGACAACCTTAGGGTGTAGGTATAATGACTGTCCCCGTTTTACAGATCAGGAGACAGGCACAAAGAGGCCAGCAGCCCACCCAAGGTCACACCGCACCCGGAAGGCCCTGTCCCGGCCTGACCCTTCTCCTTGGTCACCCAGGCTCCTCTCTCCCCTCAGACTCCTCCACCCTGCTGCCCTCAATGAGTCCCCTGGCCTTGGGGGCCACAGCCCTGCCAGCCCCTCAGGCCTCTTTGCTGCTCCTGCTGCTGCTGCTGCCCGTGGCCCTCATGCTGCTGGCCGCTGCCTGGTGCCTGAACTGGATGAGAAGGAGGCGGAGGACGCCCTCCGCTGGGGAGCAGGTGAGCCAGCAGGGTGGGCAGAGGGGCTGGAGAGGGCTGAGGGGGGTCTGGAGGCCCCAGGTGCCCAGCTGTGCCTGACCCTTTGGTCCCCAGGAGCACTGACTCATCTTGGTGAGTCTTCACCACACTGAGGACCCTGGACTTCATGTGTGGAGGGCTGGGGGCAGGAGCAGAGTGGTCAGCCCTGGCTGTAGGAGGCCCCTCTGGGGACACAGGGAGACAGACTGTAAGATGGCCTGGTGGCCAGAGAGGAAGCTGCGTGAGGGTCCGTTGAGAGGACAAGGGCTGAGCCAGGCTGGGACCATGGGGATGGAGAAAAGGAAGGGGCGGGGTCAGAGATCAGGAGGGACAGGGCTGGGGACTGACAGGCTGGGGGGGTGGCACGGATGACCCTGGGTCTGGCCCAGTGACTGGGTGGACAGTGGGGAACCTGGAGGAGGAGGGAGACTAGGGAAAGACAGAGAGCTCAGTGGGGTCCTGTGGCGTAAGGAACCCCCTGGGAGATGTTTGGATGTGGAAGTCTGCAGGCCAGGCCATGGGAGAGCGGCCTCCTGGAATGTCCACTGGCCTGGGGCAGGTGGGCGTGGGAGTTTGGAAAATGCCACAGGAAATCCAGGCCTCCAATGCCAAGCAAGGGAACTGAGGCTGCCTGCCCAGGGCAGCAGTAAGCTGTGGGAGTCATGTGATGGAGGAAAGAACCTGGCAGCAGGCGTGGGGGCAGAAGGTCAGCGGTCAGGAGAGAGGAAAGAGGCTCTAGTGGGTTCCAGATGGGTCCAGAGGGATCTAACTACAAACAGTTCCCGCCCTGGCCGGTTTGGCTCAGCGGTTAGTGTCAGCCTGCGGTCCACAGAGACCCGGGTTCGGTTCCCACTAAGGGCACATACCTTGGCTGTAGTTTGTCCCCGGCCCTGGTTGGTCGTGCGGGTGGCGGTCGCTCGATGTGTCCCTTTCACGTCGATGTTTTTCTCCCTCTCTCTCCCTCCCATTCTATCTGAACAAAAAATGGGAAAATGTCCTCAGGTGAGGATAAAAAAAAAAAAAATTAAAAAAAAAAAAAAAAGCCCTGGCCAGTTTGGCTCAGCAGTTGAGCGTCGGCCTGCGGACCAGAGAGTCCCGGGTTCAGTTCCCGCTGGGGGCACGTACCACAAAATAAAAAAAGGAAAGAAACATTTCTCAGTAGTCACTTACACACATGCCTCAGTAACACAGGCCTTGTGCTGAGGCATTCCACAGATTCATTCACTTAACTCAGAAGCTGGTGCCATTATTGTCCCCATTTCACAGAGGCACAGAGAGGTAAATAATTTGCCAAAAGTCACACAGCTTTTGAGAGGCAGAGCCAAAATCTGACCTGGGGCTATCTGGTTCTGGCTTCTGTGCTTTTCACTCTTCTGCCTCAGTTTCCTTATCTGTCCAAAAGACTGGTAATAATCCTTCTACCAAAGAGTTGTCCAGAGGTAAAAAGAAGTGACGCACGCAAAGCCCTTAGAGCAAAGCCGTCCAGTGGAAATAAAGCACAAGCTGCACGTGATTTTTAATTTCCTAATAGTCATATTTTTTTAAAAAATGGTAAGCAGAAACGGGTTACTTTGTGAGTGGTCAGGAAGTGAGTCCTCCAGCCCCAGCAAGCATTTATTTTTTTTTCTTTATTGATTTTAGAGAGAGAGGAAGAGGGAGGGACAGAAACATCAATGAGAGAGAACATCGATTGGCTGCCTCCTGCACGACCCCACTGGGGATCAGGCCCACAACCTGGGCATGTGCCCTGACTGGTGACCTCTTGGTTCATGGGTCAATGCTCAACCACTGAGCCACACCAGCCGGGCAGGAATGGGTTACTTTATCCTCACCCGAGGACATTATTTCCCATTTTTTGTTCAGATAGAGTGGGAGGGAGAGAGAGGAAGAGAGAGAGAGAGAGAAACATCGACGTGAAAGGGACACATTGAGTGGCTGCCACCCGCATGACCAACCAGGGCCGGGGACAAACTGCAACCGAGGTACATGCCCTTAGCGGGAACCGAACCCGGGTCTCTCTGGACCGCAGGCTCACACTCTAACCACTGAGCCAAACCGCCCAGGGCAGGAACAGGTTACTTTAAATACTTTATTTCACCCTGTGTATTTAAAAAGTTATTTCAACATGTAATCAATATTTTTAAAAACTATGGTCTACTTTAATCCTTTTTTTCATACCAAGTCTTCAGAACCCAGTGAGTATGCTACCTTCATAGCACATCTCAGTTGAGATGCCACGTTTTTATCAGAAATACTTGATCTGTACTTACATTTCGTGAAACGTGCAGTAGCAAAAGTGGATTCACCTGCTCGAGTTGTTTGAAACATATAGTTTCCCAAAAACTGGATCGAGGACCAGTTTCTAATTTTTTTAAATAAGTTTCTCTTGATTTAAATGTTTTTATTGATTTTTTTAGAGAGAGAGAGAGAGAGAACACAGATAGAAACATCCATGTGAGAGCCTGGGTGGTGTGGCTCAGTGGTTGAGCATCAACCCATGCATCAAGAGGTCGCCAGTTCAATTCCTCACCAGGGCACATGCCCAGGTTGTGGGCCTGATCCCCAGTGAGGGGCAGGCAGGAGGCGGCCAATTGATGTTCTCTCTCATTGATGTTTCTATCTCTCTCCCTCCCCATTCCTCTTTCTCTAAAATCAATAAAGAAGCCCTGGCCGGTCTGGCTCAGCGGTTGGAGTGTCGGCCTGCAGACCAGAGAGTCCTGGGTTCGGTTCCCGCTAGGGGCACATACCAAAAAATAAAATAAAATAAAAATAAATAAAATCAATAAAGAAACATTTTTTAAAAAGAAACATCGATATGAAAGAGATATTGATAGGCTGCCTCCTGCACGCCCCCTACTGGGGACAAGCCCGCATCCCAGGTATGTGCCCTGACCAGGAATCAAACTGGGACCTCTCAGTCCATAGGAGGATGCTCAGTGCCCTGAGTAACATCGGCTGGGCTCTAAATTTTTTAAAATTCTGACCCAAGGATATGTTTTTATTTACTTTAGAGAGAGAGGAAAAGAGAGAGAGCGAGAAACAAGATGTAAAATCAGCCACCTCCGCTTCACACCCCGACCAGGGATCAAACCCACAACCTAGGTATGTGGCCTGACCAGGAATCAAACCTGAAACTCTTTGGTGCCCAGAACAATGCTCCAACCACCTGAGACACCATGCCAGGGCAATTTCTAAATATAATGATTTTTATTTCAACATTTGTTTCAGAACAGTACCTTATTACAATTTTTCTTGAAAAGTAACATACATTGAGACATTTTCTTTCCACCTTGTCCCTCTCAACCTGTTTTCCACTCTCCCAATAACCATTGAGTTAAAATTAACTACTGAGTTAAAATTAGGTAAAATTTAGCCCTGGCTGGTGTGAATCAGTTGGTTGACCGTTGTCCCTTGCACCGAAAGGTCGCTGGTTCGATTCCTGGACAGGGCACATGCCCAGGTTTCAGATTTGTTCCTGGGTCAGAGAGGCAATTGATGGCTGTTTCTCTCTCACATCGATGCTTCTCTCTCTCCCTCTCCTTTCCTCGCTCTCTAAAAATCAATAAAAGCATTTATTATTTTTTTTTTTTAAGAAATCAGGTAAGCACTAGCCGGTTCGGCTCAGTGGTTAGAGCGCTGACCCACAGACCAATGAGTCGTGGGTTCGATTCCAGCCAAGGGCATGTACCTCGGTTGCAGTTCGTCTTCGGCCCTGGTCAGGGTCCTGCGGGAGGCAGCCAGTCGATATGTCCCTCTCAACGTCAATGTTTCTCTCTCCCCCTCTGTCTCCTACTCTATCTAAAGACAAATGGAAAAATATCCTTGGGTGAGGATTAAAAAAAAAAAAAGACAAATCAGGTAAGCCCTGGCTAGTGTGGTTCCATGGTGAGAGTATCAGCCCTCATACCAAAGGGTGGTGGGTTCCATTCCTGGGCAAGGGTAGTACCTAGGTTGCAGGTTTGATCCCCAGTTCCTACCTGGGTTGCATGTTCCAGAAGCAACCAAGAGGCAATGTTTCTCTCTCTTTCTCCTCACCCCAATCCTCCCTTCCAGTTTCTCTAAAAATCAATGGAAAAAATATCCTCAGGTGAGGATTCACTAAAAAAAAAAAAAAAAAAAGCGGGGGGGTAAAAGGTAAAACTCGGGTGCACTGGCCCCATGTGGGAGGCCCGCTGTTCCCGCCACTGGATCGCGCTGTAGGAGAAGCAGAGCTGTAGTTCCCATCACTGCCCAGGCACCGAGCTTGCTGCTTCCCGACCTCTGGCGGAGCCGCACGCAGCCCAGTGAGGCCGACGCATCTGTCACCCCATTTTACAGAGGACACTGAGGCCCAGGGAGAGGAGTCACCCGCCCGAGGACCCCGGGCCGGGCCTCGCGGGAAGTCAGCCAGAGACCGGTCACTTCCTCGGCAGCCCTGCCCCTGTCCCTGTCTCCCCGGGATGGAGGCAACGCCAGCACCCCGCGCCCGCCCCCGCCGCCCCCCTCTGTACAAAGCCCTCGACCCCAGGAAACTGTATATAAATCATCCTTTTCTTCCAGCTCTGTCTGGTCAGGCCTGTCTGTTGGTGGGTCGCTTTGGGTTGGAATCTTGGTTTTTCAGTGAACGCAATTATTTCACTCGATACCTGGTGTCTGAGGCTTCCTGGGGCCCAGGGGACCGTGCAGGGCAGTGCTGGGCCCCGCGCGGTCAGAACCAGCCCAGCCCTCTCAGGGATCCTGCTCAATGGTGGGGAGAACCTGGGGCACCGGCATGTCCTCTGACGGGGGTGGCACTGTGGGAACCCGTAGGAAGCATCTGACCCAGCCGAAGGACCACCACTTGCCCTACTGCCTGCTGTCGCTTGAGGGGGTAGCCGCGCTTCCCCACCACACCGAGCAGTTTGCGGAGGGAGCTCGGCAGTCCCTCAAAAACATGGCGGCCGAAGCTGGACAGTCCCGCCCCAACAGAGCCCCCTCCCAACCCACGTGATCTCCGGCCCCGCACAAAAATGGCCGCCGGGGTCCGTTGGGAACGACTCCCGGATTGGACGATCAGAAGACGACCCGCCTTCTAATGAGACCTTCATACGCACGCGCAGGACACTAGCCAATGAAACGACAGAAATCTGCTCACGTGGTCCGTGTGGCGTCACTTCCTCCGCCCCTGTTATAGGGGATAAGAAACCCTGCGCCAAGGCCTCCTTCTTTCCCAGGCGGCTGCCGAAGATGGCGGAGGGGCAGGTTCGGGCTCCGCGCGGGCCGGGGTGGTGAGGGAGTTCGTGAGATGCAGGCTGGGACGGGGTTGACTCTTTGTCCCTTTCTACATGTGTAGGGGAACTTTAGCTTGAAAACTGAGCAAAACGAAGAGCAAGAGGATGCATAAAGTTCTGTAACGGGGAACTAGAAATATTGGCACTGCTTTTGTGCTCTGGGACTGGTAATTACGGTATCGTTCCTCCCTGAGGGGCCACGATGCAAACTTCTGGCCCAGAAAAGAGCTGTTTTTTAAAACAAGGTCTTGTTTACCTTGATATGGGCTGGTACTTGGCTGAATTGGACCCGTGTATGTCTGGCGTTGGGGAAGCACGTGGAAGGCGGCTGAGAAGCCAAGGACTGGCCTAAACGGAGGGTCCTTTTAGTCTTCCCAGGCGGCCCTGCTTTGCCCCCGTGGGAGTGCTGATCAGGCCTCCCCAGCATCTCTGGGTGTTTGGGCACAAAATCTTCACCCTGGGTACAAGGAGCTCTTGCCTATGGGGCTTTCGGGAACAAATTGTTTTCCCCTTTGCTCTGGGTTTGATGTACAGTTGCTGCTAGAAGCAGAGGACTGGGATTCAATGTTCCACAGCCCTGGGCCATCTTTTGTCCTTAAGCACTTGGCCTTCAATGAAGGTAGCAGAAGCTTACCTCTGAATGCCCTGGCTCCTTTGTGCAACCTTGTGTGAAGGGGGAGACACTGGGACTGGGGAGGGGGTCCTTACGGGTTTAATGGATTGGTTCTGTAGTTAAGGAAGGAAAACCAAGTTGGGAGGGAGGCAAGTGGTAGAGTTCTCTGAACGTGTCCCTGCATTTACTGTGTTCCTGGCCCGGTTTGCATTGTATTTTTTGTGATTGAGAGAATGATCACAATGTTTCTGAGGCGGATATTGTTATCCTCATCTTCCAGGTGAGGAAGTTGAAGCCTGGAGAACTGCAGATCTTTGCCCCAAGTCACATTGTCAGGAAGTCTGGCTTTAGATTCTGTACCTTTCTGCCTTCCAACAATCACAACGTATATAACCAGCACTCGATAAGAGTGGGGACTTTTACTCTTGATGAAGAAGCTGTAATCTGGGCATAAAAATCCCTGCCCTTCCAGCAACCGAGATGTGAGAGGAGTTCTTATCCCGTTCATTGAAATCACGAGTCAACCATTTGCTTTTTTGGCCTCGTCTGTAAAGTGAGCCTTGGGTCCTAGTTCTTAAGTCTGGTACCTGGATAGGAGGTACCCGGGGAATGAGGTGAAACAGAAATAATTAGAAAGCAATGTTTGCTTGGGGTGGGGAATCGGAAGGTTCTGGGTGACTAAGCTCTCGTCCTATCTTCAACAGGTCCTGGTGCTTGATGGCCGAGGCCATCTCCTGGGCCGCCTTGCGGCCATTGTGGCCAAGCAGGTACTGCTGGGTAAGTCTGGTCTCTACCCACAGCACCCTTCCCCGCCCCCGCAAAGCTCCAGTCGGAGGTCAGTGATGAGCAGCAATCACCATCTTTCGTTTGAGTCTCACGACCATGAGATCAACCCCATGCACCGCTCTGAGACTTGCCGGCCACTCCTTCCCCTGCAGTTGGGGGCTGTGGGGTTAACGTTTCTTCTGTTGAGCTCATACTTTAAGTATGAAACCAGCTCTGCCAGATACTCCTCCGTGACTTGGGACAGGAGGCTCCCCTGCAGGGTTCTTGGTTTTTTTGGCCTTGTGGTCAGTTCCTCAGCAGTAGCTGGGCAGGTGGGTGGCAGCCAGGTGCAGGAAGAACCTTTGGGTGGCTTTGTGATCTGTGCCTCCATGATTGCCTCGCTTTCCTTTTCCCACTAGGCCGAAAGGTGGTGGTTGTGCGCTGTGAGGGCATCAATATCTCTGGCAACTTCTATAGAAACAAATGTAAGTTACAGCATGGGAAAAGGGCTAGAGAGGGTTGGCGTCAGGGGTGCTCAGGCTTCATAGACTCTCCCCAGGGATTGGAGGTGCTAGTTTATTTCTGAATAGGCCCTTGGGGGTGTGGATATGTTGGAAGAAGCTAGCATTAGCCTTGGGATATAAAGCCTTCATGCTGTCTCCTCTCAGTGAAGTACCTGGCCTTCCTCCGCAAGCGGATGAACACCAACCCATCCCGTGGTCCTTACCACTTCCGAGCCCCCAGCCGCATCTTTTGGCGGACTGTGCGAGGTGAGCTGGGCCTGAAGACCACAGGTGGTGATGGGGTGGGTGGCCAGTGATGAGGACTTCTCCCACTCAAGTTCGAGTTTCCCAACCATGAGATGACTCCACATGCACTACCATCTGAGGCCACCTGTCTGCCTGCCTCTGGGGTGGGGGGTCCTCACGAGCCCCTCTGAGTTGCTGTTCCTCTGCCCACAGGCATGCTGCCCCACAAAACCAAGCGAGGTCAGGCCGCCTTGGACCGCCTCAAGGTGTTTGATGGGATCCCACCGCCCTATGACAAGGTAAGCTAGATTAGGCCTCTGCAGCATCCATGTGTCTGCCGGTGTCCATGATGATCCACGTTACCTACATTGTTTGAATCTCATGAGAACAGCACTGGCTGAGACGCCTGCCCTAGCCAGCCTTCTTCCCTGTCTGTCCCTCACTCCAGGTTCCCTAAGCCCCTCTCCTTCTCTAACAGAAAAAGCGGATGGTGGTTCCTGCAGCCCTCAAGGTTGTGCGCCTGAAGCCCACACGGAAGGTGAGTCCCAGATGATGTTGAGTGGGCTAACATGGGGGTGTCACTTGGGGGGGTGGCTGGGGGTGGCTTGAGGTCCCCAAGACTGGCAAATGATGTTTTTTTCTCACGATGGTCTGCGGATGCCACTGGGCGCTGCCGATAATGCCAATGGCTTGGCTGATGCCAGGAGGAGCAGGGACCCCTTACACAGGGTTGGGGTGGGTGTGCCTCCCGGTTTAAGCTTGGTGAGAAAAGTTGGATTGCTAAGTGTTCAGGATCCTTTAAGAAAGGTCATCAGCCCCGCTCATGGCTACCCTTTCCTCAGTCCAGACTCCTCATTTCATTACAATTTCATTTCTTAACCCCCACCCGCAGTTTGCTTACCTAGGCCGCCTGGCTCATGAGGTCGGCTGGAAGTACCAGGCGGTCACGGCCACTCTGGAGGAGAAGAGGAAGGAGAAGGCCAAGATCCACTACCGGAAGAAAAAGCAGCTCATGGTGAGTTCGGGGGCACCACACACCTGGGCAGTGGTCTTGCTTACCCCCAGAGGGCTCAGCTTAAGGCCCAGCCTGGAGTTTGCAGTGGGATTTGGGCCCCTGGGATAAGGGTGGTCACAGGTAGCAGCCACTGACCGCAGTCTGTCCTTCTAACCCACAGAGGCTACGGAAACAGGCCGAAAAGAATGTGGAGAAGAAGATTGGCACATACACAGAGGTCCTCAAGACTCATGGACTCCTGGTCTGAGCCCAATAAAATTGACTGTTAATTCCTCATGCTTGGCCTGGCCTGCCCTTCCTCCATCGCCGCCCTAGGATGTGGGGGGGACACCCCACATCGCCCTAGTGTTGTTCTGGGGACACAGAAGGGGCCTTTGTTACTACTATTTCAGAAAGGCCTTTTAAAAAGCTTAAGGCTCTAAGAGCTGTGGGGCATCATTTGCCTGTGACCTCATTCATGAGAGTTTAAGGAAATCAGTGGTTGGAACAGCTAGTTCCGTTTCCGTATTTATAAGTAAGCTGGAAAACTCAAGTTTAAACTTCCCACATGGTCAGATACTAGACTCTGCAGCTGTTAGGATGTAACAAGTGCTTGGGGCAGGATGAGCCTGGTGTTGTACAGGGTGTTAACAGATGCAGAATGGCCAGCCACAGCGTCTCAGGCATTGCCCTTGCACGTTCCTGTAACTTGTGACCAGAAAACGAATAAATTATTTTTAAAGAAATTTGGCGTCTTTGCAGTGTGTGTCTGCAATGGAGGCAGGCCATTGCCAAGAAAAGGGGGCTTGGAAAGGGCTGTGCTGGAGTCTATCCACAGATAAGTGGATAAGTGCCAGTGACAACGACGTAAACCATTGTGGCCTGTGGTACCTAGTGTCACCCAGCTGACAAAGCTGTCTTAGTCCAGCCAAAAGGTATGGAGTTGCCAGCGTCTTAAAGCCATTCCCACTTCTGGGACATGGGCTGCTCCAGTCTGTCACACCTGCTTTGGGGGAAGAAATGAGCAAGGAGCATTTTGCACGTGGTGATTAGGCACTAGAAGTAGAATGTTTGACACACTAAGACAAGCAGACAGATCTGCTGGGCAAAGCCTCCAAAGGATAAATGTTAGGTGCAACCCCTCAGGTGACCTTTGATCACCTCCAACAGACTCATTGATGAGATTTAGGTGGAGTCCCCTGATCAGTGCCACACCCAGAATTCCACACAAAGCCTTCTGGTTTGACAAAGGCAGGCTGTTCTGAAAAGGAAGGTGCATTCGTGCTTCCCCTGGGATTAATCTGCAATGTTTAGAAATTGCTTCCTGCCCCGGCCAGTTTGGCTCAGCGGTTAGAGCATCAGCCTGTGGTCCAGAGAGACCCGGGTTTGGTTCCCGCTAAGGGCACGTACCTCACTTGCGTTTTGTCCCTGGCCCTGGTTAGGATCCTGTGGGTGGTGACCACTCGATGTGTCTCTCACATCCAGTCTCTCCCCTTCTCTCTCCTGCTCTATCTGTAGATAAACGTAAAAAAAAAAAAAAAATTTGGTTCCTAATTCAGTTGCCTGACCTTAGCCCAAAGGGAGCTAGTTGAGGATAGTTTACAGGCCAATTAGAATTTTAGCACCATGCCATTCTATCATGCCTACTCTACTAAATGTCCAAGATATTGACGGCTTAGATTTTCTCAATCTAACATGGATGGTGTTCCCACCCCTCCTAGGGCTCCTGGGATCTGCTTCCAAAAGCAACTGAAGATAGAGCTTAATTCTAAAATTTGGCAAAACTGCATGTTAAAGGAGCACAATAAACCCACTGGAAGCACCATCAATTAAAAAGATAAATCTGGTTTTATGGGGAGAAAAAAACTTTCCACTTCTGAAAGACACCATTAAGGAGATGATGACAAGCCACCGAGTGGGAGAAGATACTTGGAAATCATTTCTCCTTGAAGGACTTCTATCCCAGATATATACAGTAACAGGGAGATGACCCAAGTAAAAATTAGGCAAAAATTTGAACAGACATTTCACCAAAGAAGATACACAAATTACCAATAAGCACCAGAAGATAGTCATTCAACGTTAGAGAACGAACATGGAATCTCTGGGTGGACACAATCCTTCATGTAGAACAAATGCGGGGAATTGGAGCCTTGGCCAGGAGCAGGAACATTTTCAAAGCTTCAGTTCCATCTTGTCCAACTGCCCACCACCAGAGCATGTGGGTATACCTGTCCATTCCATGGGAGTGCCATAGGGCGGGTCTTGTTTTATCAGGCATTTCTGTGCTCGCTGAGGATGTCTCCAGGTCTACCAGCATTTGCGTTTCTTTTATGAAATGCTGGGAAATAATGTCTGAAATCTGGCAAAGGCTGGGAAATATTCCCTGAAGAGGTAATAATTAGAGTTCCCCTTAAGTTTATTATTGGACACCAAGGCTAATCACAATGCAGGTCAAAACATCAATCCAGCTGTTAAAAAAAAGTGGAATACAAATGAAAGGGGAAAAATCAGTATATTGCAGCAAGGAATGAAAAGAGCTAAAAGTTAGAAAGGGAGCCCTGCCCCGTTTGACTCAGCAGTTAAAGCCTCGGCCAGTGGACCAAAGGATCTCGGGTTCAATTTCCGGTCAATGTTGGATCCAGGGTAGTGCAGGAGGCAACCAATTGTTGTGTCTCTCTCACGCTGATGTTCCTCTCTCTTGTCTACAGACATACCACCCTGAATGTGCCCGATCTGGTCGTCTGATTGTTTCTCTCCCTCCCTCCCACTCTATCTAAAAAAAAATCAGTGGAAAATATCCTCAGCTGAGGATTAACAACCAAATAAATAAATATAATAAAAATAAATAGCCAGGCCGGTGTGGCTCATTGGATTGCGTGTCGTCCCATGGACTGAGAGGTTCCAGTCTGATTCCCCATCAGGCACATGCCACGTTGCAGGCTCCATCCCCAGTAGGAGGCAACTGATCTCTCTCACATTGATGTTTCTATCTCTCTCTCCAAAAAAAAACAATAAAAACATTATAATAAATGAAAGAGAAAGGAGGCAGGGAGGAAGGAAGATAACTGTGTTAGATGAGAATATACAGTGCTATTTCCTATTGTGGGTTGTGCTCAAAAACGTTTAAAATCTAAGGACCTAAAACATCTCTAACTCGTCCCCACCCTTTCAGAGCGAAGCAGTATTTTTCTTTGCTTCTCCCTTATCATCAAAATCTCACCAGCTACTCTGAACAATTTGCAAAATAGTGAGCATTTTAAAAACCAGAGAGGAAATCACACCTAATCCCACCACCTGGAGATGTAAACCACCCACCGGGGCATGCCCTTTCTTCTAGCTTTTTCTAAGTAACTTAAATGTGTAGGTAGCACACATTGTAGGTAAACAATTGTGGGTCCTTCCTGCTTTTATATTTATTTATTTTCCTTCACTGATTTTAGAGAGCGAGGAAGGGAGAGGGAGAGATGAAATATCCATGAGAGAGAACATCCACTGGCTGCCAGCTGCATGCCCCCCACTGGGGATCAGGCCCATGACCTGGGCATGTGCCCTGACAGGAATCGAACCTGCGACCTCTTGGTGCATGGGTCCACAATCAGCCACTGAGCCACAATAGCCAGGCGTGCCTTTTTATTTTTATAAAAAATTTTTTTTATTCCTCACCCAAGGATATTTTTCTACTTATTATCAGTTAGAGTGGGAGCGAGGGAGAGAGAGAGAGAGAGAGAGAGAGAGAAGACATTGATGTGATAGAGCCACATCGACTGGTTGCCTCCCACATGACCCGACCAGGGCCGGGGACGAACTGCAACCGGAGAACGTGCCCTTGACCGGAATTGAACCCAGGACTCATTGGTCCGCGGGCTGATGCTCTAACCGCTGAGCCAAACCAGCCAGGGCCAGGTGTGCCTTTTTAAAAAACTAATATAAATCCTTTCCAAGTCGTTCAAAAGTTCCAGAAATTAACTTTTCTTCAAAAAAATTAGTTATAAAGGTAGGACAGGAGGTTCCAAGACCAAGTGAAAAGTCGCCGTCAACGCTATCCCCAGAAGGGCTGAAACAAGTATAATTAAGAATCTATCGCCTGGCCGGTTTGGCTCAGCGGTTAGAGCGTCGGCCTGCGGTCCCAAGAGCCCCGGGTTCGGTTCCCGCTACGGGCATGTATTTTGGTTGCAGTTTGCCCCCAGCCCCGGCCGGTCCTGCGGGAGGCAGCCACTCGATGTGTCCCTCTCACATCCACGTTTCTCTCTCTCTCCCACCCACTCTATCTGAACAAAAAAAAAATGGAAAAATATCCTCAGGTGAGGATTAAAAAAAAAAAAACACAAAAAAACCTATCATTCACAATTCAGTTATTAAGTACAAAAGAAATTTAAATACCTAAGCTTTCACATGACATTTTAAGTGCATA